TGCCGCAGGAGATAATGATCGCCACACGACCATGTCAAATAGTCATGATATTACCATGATAAAGTTGTCACCAATTGTGATGGCACGGTCGGATTAAGCGAGGAGTTGGACTAGCCGAGGTCAGATTGGTGGGGTTCTAATGTAGTTTTGTGTTTCAAATATCTTGTTTTAATAGAATAATATCTTAAGTGCTGGATTTATTGCTTTTCCTTTTTAAAATTTAAAAATTATGCATCAATTAAGACTGCAGTGGTCAGCTAGTCAGTGGTTTTTGGGATGTGCTATTTGTGCATTTAATCAACAGTAATTCTTTTTTGGGTGCTTGAACTTTTGTAAATGGGTTTAATATGAAGTTTGCTTGTTGGCTGTACGGGATTTATATAATTTTAAAAGAATCAAAAGCAATACAAATCACTACTTTTGAGGTATGTAATGAGACAAGTATAAAAACTATCTGAATATATTACCAAACACTTGCTAAATTGGTTTATACTCAATATTGCTGGTTATTAGCATTCATTGAGCTATTTTTAATCTAATAATTTACCAGATACCAAGACGCAGTGACTTAAACTTAAATCTTAAACCATTATCCATATTTCGTCTTATTAAAACGGGTAAACATTGCTAATTTGTATAGCACTAGATTATCTAGTGGATAAATCTGACACTCGCCATTTTATTAAGTAACCATTTTTTAGTCTTTGTGATGTCAGGTCTTGAATTGACTGCTTCAAGTCAGTTGTAAGGAATTACAACATTATCCTATTTTTTTAGATTTTTCATATTGACTTTTAAAACCTAAAACAAATGTGTATTTACGTGTTTTAGACAAAATAATGTCAGATTCCTTCGTTTAGAGGTTTAATTTATTTATATACCTGTGGGCCAGACACTACTTTGTTTTGTACTACCTCTAGTTATCTGATTTATTATTTAATCATGTAAAGATTGTATTTTAGATTCCAAGTAATAACTTCTTATGAAAATACAATTTGTCAAGTTGTATCTTACAGTCAAAGATTATTTTTATTTACAAGAAAATCTCTGTTTAAAATATTATAGGAAGGCCCAACTTTCTTTTACAACTTTACAGTATTTTAGTATTTTGTTTGAAAAAAATTTGTTATTGTTTATGTTTAGTAATCATTATGTTACAGATCATTCTGCTATGCATTTTATAAACTAGTTATCTAGTATAGGTTCGTCAAAAGAACGAGCAAACATCAAAGTGTTTGTGGTATTTTATCAAAACTATAATAAAAATGTGGCAAGCAATGAGAATTTACATTAATATTATTAATGTTATTTTAGCAAGTAAAAATCCTTAGTTATTATACATTTTCTCTTTACTAAAGCATCCTTTTGACTAACCTATACATCTTAGTACCACGAGCTAGGAGGATGAATATCTAGAAGATAGCACTTCTCTAGAGGATTTTGTGGTGCTGGCCATTTTGTTGTGTACTGGAACGGTTTCAGAATTTCCATACATAATTTTAATCTTGGTCTTGTGTTAACACTGAATGGTTTATACATATGAGAAATGGTAGGCTACACTACCACCTTACCTCTCCTACAAACCCAGGGTTAGAAGTTGTCAAACTCTAAACAAGTGCTACCTCAGATATAGTATCTAGCTCAGTGGTTAGCATAGTAGAAGTATTTCAGAATTAGAGTAGAATATTTAAATATCTAAATTTAAATGGGTATTAAATATGACTGCTTTTAACAGGTTATATTTTGATAAAGAAATATATATTTTGTGATTTGATGAACCTTTTACCCTGACCCGCGAAGGTTCCTTTTTGTACAGAGTTTATATCCGTAACACAACACTTTTTCCTATACAGTTTTATGATTATGTAACCAGTTGAAATAATCAATAGTTTCATGTCAATTAACATTTTATTTCGGCTCTACAACATTGTACGCATATTCTAATATAACAGCAATATGTATGAGATTACTTGTGTTGCTTTTATGTAGCAAGAAATAAAATCTTCAGTGTCAGTAAAAAGTTTTTTTTCCTTCCTGATCTCTAGTTTTGAATTGTCATGAAACTGCCATTAATCACAGTCGCTGTGTTTTCTGTTTGCGTTTACCGCCTGGGCACTCTTCATAACACAGAAGACATTTTCTTCCGCTGCCTGTGTAGGGTAAAAATCCGCCTGTAAGCTCAACACCACGAAGACTGCCATCGGTGAACATGATCATCCCTATTATCATCATGATGGTGAGGTTAAGTGTATTCTCTGTGCCAGAAGCTTAACCCTCAGCTACAAGTCATAAAAGAGCTAAATTCCAATAAATGGTGAGAGCATGGTCACATGTTGACCCGAACTATAGAATTTTGACAAATAAACTCCCAGGTCTGTGTCCAACAGAATAGAGGGTTCTCTTTTCATCATTAGTCTGAACGTTATGGAGTTGCCGCCTGGGGATCCACAGCAGCCAAGAACATGGAACGCGTCCTCACCATCCAAAAGAAGACCATAAGGACAATTTTTCAACTGCAAGCTGATTTTCAGGGACCACAATATCCTTACAGTCATTTCCCTGTACCGGTTGGAATCCATCTTACTCGCAAAAAAATCTACACCTACCCTAAGATCAGAACAACATTCATACCACCTCCGAAACACACATAACAACAATCATTATTATGGCTCTTAATTCTTCAATTTATTACCACCACGACTCTAAACCATTTATAAACCTGTAACCTTTCAACAGCAAACAGAAGCAATACTAATATTTAACAGATAGGCCATACTACATAGTCTCCAATTTCATTGAAGAGCACACCTTCCAAGACCTGAGACCGAATAGGCCTACAAAACCCATTTTTACCCTGGTCCCAGGAAGAAATGTGACGATTGACCCCGATTCCTGGATTTGTGGAGAAGACACAAGATGGTAAATGAAACAATTTAAGAGTCCTACTTAATCCCCACTTGGCCTCCTCTCCTGGTAAAAACTACCTTTTAAAGTATAAATACCTTGTAGGCTCTAGTGGATGATGCCATCCCTAAATCCTCGGTCTACCAGTGAGAGCCTCGTAAAATCGGTATTTTACCAAAATTACAAATTTTACTGTATTAAACCGTACTACCATAGATAAAACATGTTTTATCTATGGTACTTATAACTTTTAAATTTAATAACTGCAAGCTGTTTGGCTGAAAACAATTAAATAGCTCAACGAAACATACCAATGACGTCAATTTGTATTCTTTCTTCTTTTCCCATGAGTCCCATAAACTAAACCTTATTAGAAACCTAAATGTCACAGCGCACAATTTAGACCGCGGGCTCATTACAGGCACTGCTGGCTACCTGGCTTTAGGGCTCAGTTAGGTATAATTGGCAACGTTGCAAGTTGCAAGTAGGGTTGTTTAATGTCAGACGTCCCATAAGATAACATGGCAGAAAGGTGACATCAGCGCATTAATTCGCACTATATTGATTTAAAAATTTGTTAACTTTAAAATTATTAAAATATTGAAAATAAAACTTACGTAATTGAAAACCAAAACAATATGAATTGAAAATCTATATCTGTACATTTAAAGCAGAGTCAATATTTTCATAGTCAAGTAAACACGCTTTCGTAAAGCCGGGTTTTCCTAGGCGCGTAGTTGGCCAGCGGAGAGAGGAACGCGGAGAGCGGACTCAGCTGGTCTTAGGTAATTTAATGTTACTGTTTTCCTAGCAGCGGAGCGGAATGCCATGTTAATTTCAATTCCGCTCTCCGTTGTCCGCTCTCCGCTGGCCGACTCCGCGTCTAGGAAAACCCAGCTTAAATACACAAATACCATTAGCTGCTTCCAAACAAAAGAGCTGTTACAAAACCCATACTTGTGACGTTACCACTTTGAAGGCCCACGGCCTGGAGTTAAAGGCGGCCGTGGTAACGTGCAGACTAAAGCGTACTCCTAGTTTAAATCACCTGTTTTAAATTTTACTTTCATACTTTCATTTTTTCCTTAGTAAACAAATCCAACGAAAATTCTTCCAAATTTCCTAACAGGGGCACCTAAGCCACCGCCGCCTTTAACACCAGGCCGTGGGCCTTCAAAGTGGCAACGTCACAAGTAGGGTTTTTGTAACAGCTCTTTTGTTTGGAAGCAGCTAATGGTATTTGTGTATTTACGAAAGCTTGTTTACTGGACTATGAAAATATTGACTCCGCTTTAAATGTACAGAGATATAGATTTTCAATTCATATTGTTTTGGTTTTCAATTCCGTAAGTTTGATTTTCAATATTTTAATAAATTTATGTTCATAAATTTAGATCATTAAAATGTGAATTAATGAGCCTGATGTCACCTGTCTGCCATGTTATCTTATGGGACGTCTGACACGAAACAACACTATACTTGCGACGTTGCCAATTCTACCAGGCCAAGGCCTGGAGTTAAAAGTGGCCGTGACTAAGCCCTGAAAGCTACCACGAAATTGATGTGTATATACTGGTATACTGTATAAACCTACTCTATGAAATTCTACATGTATGTACCTAGTTTCGTGGCCATGGGTCTAGGAGTTAAGCTAATTAATTGTAGTTGTGTTAGAACCCTGGAGTGAACTTAAGAACGAGCATAGGCTTTCTTGGAATATATTATAAGTAGGTATTTGTTATAGATGTTAAACGTTATTAGCTGTAGGCTGTCTAGAAATTTATAATATCATATTGTAAGATATATAATCAATGCTAGTACCTTGTTCAATCGCCATTTTGCTCTTTTTCATTTCAGCTTACTTTGTACAAGCAGCTGACTGCTGGAGCCGGCATTCGGATTTATTGGACCAGCGACCAGCCGGAGCCGGCCAGCCGCGATTGGGGTTGACGGTTGGTTGACGTGACGTTGAGCTGCTGATTGCTGAAGAAGAGTTGTAGTTTTTGTTTACTTTTACCATAGATGAAGTAATATAATTACTTCATCTATGCTTTTACTTTGTTGTTGTTAAGTTATCTACTTACAGTAGTAAATTATCTCGGTCTTCATAAGCTAAGGCATAAGAGAGTACGTTGTAGCACGAAAGGGTAGAAAATTATATTAATGAAGAAGTCTTGTGGTATTCAACGGTGTGATAGCATTGACTAATGGTGACTAGGAAAAGTTCTAAGTGACTAGGCAACGCCTACTAGAAGTACTGTACGGTATCTGATTTAGTGCTTATTCAAACTACAACAAATTTGTTTTACTTATGACTCCTAAGTAGGTACTGGATAGGTTACTAATACATGGTTAAGAGTACTTCGTATAAATCCAAGAAGAAACAATGCTTTTGTTTAAAATAAGTTTTCTCTAGGCTAGGCTAATTGATTTTTTTAGCTAGACCTAACCTACAATGTTTCACAAGAATGCTTTATTTATTAACGGAACATTTTTGGGGTTTTGTGGAGTAAGTTTATGTTTCACCGATCTAATGAACGTAATCCACTGTGATATAGTCCTCACATCAACTGCACAGTGGTTCATGTCTAAACTAATGTTAATTTTCCAGTTTGTTATTTTCTTCTGCTTTATCTCAATTGTATTTGTTATAATTTCTTCTCATTTCGCACAAGTAAAAGTTGGGAAATCTTTTGAAAATAGGCTTACAATAGCTTACAAGTTTGGCTATGTTGATTCAGTATCTACTGTGGCTATCAAATGGATCTACCGGCTCTTCCCATCCAGTGACAAAGTTCAAATTTTTTATGAAAGCAAGGTAAGCTAATCACACATAATTATAGTTTGATTACTAAAATTTCAGTTGAGCTTAACCACATTATGAAGATCAACTCCTTTTAATCTCTCAGATATGTAGCCAAGATGAAAAAATAGCATAACAGGATGATAATCAGGGTTGCTACATGAAGCTTTTTGTGAGGCTAGCCTGTTGGCAAACTCCCTGCTATAATAATAACACTTTCGGCTCCACGGTGTCAATGTTAAATCATAACCGTTTTTCTGACAAAAACTGAACTCATTGATTGTTATATGGTGTGTTAATTAAGTTTCAAGATTGGTCTGAGGAAAATAAATACAGTATTGAACATATATAGGCCTAGCGGATAAAAAATCTTCAAAATAGTTTCTTTCTGAGTCCACACACTGCTGCCAGTAGTGTGAGTTTATGTCACTGTGGGAAGGCTTCCTGGAACTGAAGCCGTTTGAACTGCTGCGACGCTACCTAAATGCTTTCCTTTTAGGTCCTTCTTCAAATAAGAGAAGTTGCCTAGGGCAATATCCGGGTTGTAAGGTGGCTGTTAAAGCATTTCCACGTTGTTCTGGGCCAAAATCTGTTTGTCTGTTTAACTGCCATGTGCCACTGCTTCTGATTATTCATTAGCGATTTCAGTACAAGTTTAACACAGATTTTCCTCATCATGGAATTTTCAGAAGCCATTTGAAACACTGTAGGCCTATACCATAATTAAAATTTGTTCCATCCGTAATGAGTCTAATGATCATGTGTCGGTCATTGTACAATGCTTGTGCACTTTTGCCAGATTTTCTTGTTTCTGCAACGTTTCAGGCTTACCAGCACATCATCGTGTTAACAGCCATCTTCAAACCACTTGTGCCTCATGAAAACCATGACATGTGCCAGCGTCTTCTTTGTGGACCTGTTATAACAAGTGAATCGTTTCCACACCGTTCTTGACTCTAGAATTTGATGGAATAACGCTGTTCCTCCAAACACTGAGTTTCATCCTCACTAACTTATGCTCCGACGTGATCACAAAACAATTTGTAACTTTGCGGGTGATGCATTCACTCTCTAAGTTAGCGCCTCGCCCCTTGCCAGCAACCGGAGATGGTTTGATCGCTTACCTGAGACCAACTTCACTCAGCTAGGGCCACGTACCTGGTCAGGAAGCGGAGGCTCCACAGGAAATATAATATAACCCCAGTCTTGAAACTTAATTAACACGTGTCACCCTTTATGAGACTTCGAAAACTGGATTTACAAACGCTTTACTGAAAGTCGTTGTTTTAATGTGACTACTGGTGAAAATTGAAATTAAATTTGAATTGCACCGTATTGTAGGCCTACTTTTCATACTTTTTAAAATACTTTTATCTGAAATGGTGACCATACGAAGGTAGGTATTATAAGCCAAGTATGAATGGTGATGAGTGTAGGATGAGTGGCGCGATCTTGTAGTCTTGTTACTGATTAATGCCGCCATGGTCCTTAGACTGGACTGTTAATCAATAGCCCATACAGCCAATGGTAACTAAGGGACCTACAGTTTATAGTGGAATCCGAACCACATATTTGCCATGTAATTCACGAAATGGTCTAGCCTAATTATCAGGATAGTACTGCCGATAGTTGTAGTCCTCACTAGCGCAGATGTTAATCCACACCAGGGATTATCGCATCAACAGATCATGCCTATAAATATCCACAGTTCGTGACCTCGAAGTAGATGGATTTTACAGGACGATGACATGGTCCCAGTCAATCTGATAAGGAGGCCTAACTTACCTCGTGACAGGCAATTATTTGTTTTCAGTCAAATCAAGAGTTAAGCCTATTTGAATGATAATCCACATTTAAAGAAATAACAGACTTGGGCTAAATCTAAGTAGGCCTACTGAGGAAAAGTTCTCATTTAATTTTTCAAGATTTTCAACAAAATGATGATTGAAATAGTCCTATAATTGTATCTAAACATTTAAATGTAGTTTTATTGTGTTTGAACCTACCCATCACTGTTCAGACTTTTGAACCAAATAACTTAGGCCTGCAGTAAAACTTTCGATAACAAGACTCTCGTGGGAATCTATACTTATAAAAGTCAAATACCACTCACTGATCACTATATCTCAAGAACTACAAGCCATAAAACTGAGGAATTTTCATGGAGGTTCCAATCAATGTGCGCAATAAGAAGCGTTTCCCAAGAATTCCATCAAACTGGCTCCATCACTGGGCTCTGACCCAGTGGCTTTTAAAAAGTTATCCTAATGGATGAAAGATTTGTTTACATTTGAACACACGAATACTCAGGAATCTGTAGGCCTACTTTAATTTAGTGAAAAGCTGGTTATATTTTATTACATGAAATGAAAATATTTACATTATTTTTGTGGCTTGAAAAAATGTTTTAGGCCTACTTAACTGCATTACACATTTTTAATAGTTAAATGAACTAACAAATCAAGAAGTGTAGGCCCTACTCAGGTTTAACATTTAACTTTTTAAATTTTCGTGAGCGATGCCACAACGGGTTTGCTAGTTATTTGATAAGACTTGTTATCAATAGGTCAATAGGATTTGCAATAGGCCTAACATTGGATAGGGGTAGCCTAAGTAAAATCTAGAGGATTTCAAAGTTACACTTTTTATCAAGGTCTCACTGTGTTATTTAGACGATAATTTAACCATTCAGGTTTATAACTTAACTTACGGTATTTTTTGTTTTTCAGTCAGGGCCACTAGGTATAGCATACGGTGTGGTCATTCCCGAGCCACTGACGGATGAGAAGAAGCTAAGTTTGCTCAGCAATGGTTATAGTTTTCTCAGGACAAAGCCAATTTCTAATGCCGTTTACATCTCAAGTCCAGCTATACCTTGGCTTTCCTACTTCGGCCAGTGGCTTATTCTTTGTGTCATCTACCCTAAGCTGTACAGGTACAGCAAGGTGAGTTTAATTTTTTCCTCCTACCGCTTTTGGAAATAATCACATTACTATACCTGTAAACAGTACCCAAAATATCTCATTTCCGCTCTAGACGGATCATAATTTAATCAGGTGATATCATTGCTGGTATTTCTATATAACACTAACATCCAGTACCGGTACCTTAAAAGAATGTTTTTCATTGCTGTCTGAGACATCTGTCATGTTAAAGGTATTTCCCCCTAAAACCAACCAGGGGGAATTAAATGGGGACTTAAATGTAAGCTATCACGAATCAGTGGGACATCCCTGTTCAAGCTGTTCAGCCTAAGACAATTGAATTAGGTTTGTTGATAATCAATTTTCTTTCCACTTGTTACTTTTAACAAAATATGCCTACATATAGTTTATTAAACTTTTTTTCCATCCTAAAATATTCCTTCTAAAACTTGTATGGTACATGTAGATTTTGGCTCAGTTTGAATGGTCTTACTACTGTCAATATTTTAAAATTATGTTGATCAAGTAAAATGGTTTCAATTTCAAATCATTATTATTTAGCCACTAAACACAATAGATAACATGTCTAGTCAATGAAAATTGGCACTTAATGGAAGTATGTAACAGGTAGAGAATTTCTTAACTGTGTAACAAGGTTGGACAGCAAGTAAGCCTTGATTTTTTTTCTGAGAAAGTCTTTCCAAAATCAACTTTAAGGGGGCTTTAAGGTAACACATTCATCCACAAAAAATATAAGACTTTGACAACCTACACCTAGGCAAACAAAATTATAACTATTTCTAGTGATACTTATTTCTTGAACTTACACTTTGGCAATTACATATCTCTATTTGCAATATTAAACATGCTTTCGTTTTTTTCAGACTCACAAACTGAGTGCCTATCCAGTCATTGAACTCTACAAAACCTTCTCTGTGTCTCTCATCGCTCCTCTGAGCCAACAGGACATTTTTGTAGTTCCTGAAGCTGAGTGTTTGATGCAACGCTCATCAAGACTTGACGATACGGTCGATTCCTCCGTGGCTGAGAAGTCTATGTCTACCAGTTATCATTCTACGAGAGTTAAGCTTAGCGAAACTACTAAATTGTCACCCAGACTCAGTTTAACTCCAATCAGTAGTGTTAAAAATACTAAACTCTCTCTGGAACGGAGCCTAACGCCCCTCGGTAGTTGTTATGTTGCCGTTGGTAAAATCATACTTAAGCATAGCTTGACCCCTGTCAACAACAATGACGTCACCGTAGTTGTACGATCGTCCACTCCCTTGGTATCCAACGGTCACCATGTCAACGGACAGCATTAGTGCGAGGTAAGACTGATTTATTTGTAGTGAATAACGAGTAAGCAAACTGAATTGTATAGCTGGATGGCTTACACACTTGTTCTTGTGACGGAGAATATACTTGTTCTTTGAGCCATGGTACAATTTTTGTGTTACCAATGTTAAAAAAATTACAAAACATAGTTTATGAATATGTTACTTTGTTTTTTTTAATGAATAATCATTCTTATTACATACATCATAAAATCATTTTTACGAGTATAATGTTATCAATATCACAAGTACGACATAGAAAATTAATTCTGCCTTTATAGCTTTGTTAATCAATACATTAAGTATTTCAGCTTGCTTAAATTTTCCGTCATTTTTCATACGATTTTGTTGATAGCGATATTTATTTACTTCCTATTATGTCGAACCAGTTCTTGTTTACATTCTTTAAATATTTGTTTGTAGGCTAATAATTTTATTTGGAATAAACCAGTCGTAATCCATAAAACAATTACTTCTGTTGTCTTATGCTTTTAATGGATTGGTTTGCTGACCTAATGACTTAGATTTGACTTAAGCTATTCAAAGTATTGTTGTAAAAACATTAGAAAAGGGTGAAAAGTTAAAAGATCGTTTTGCAGCAGGTCCTGATATTTTTAGAATGGCAAGTGTTGCTGAAACTGTCATTTGAAACACATGATTTATAGACTTCATACTTTATGATGAACGTGGAATAGTTTAGCAGTATCAGAGTGTTGAACTGTTGTAAAGTATCAACAGAATAGTAAACCACGTGTTTTACTTTTCTATAAAAAGCTGCATGGCCGACTCATTTGCAACATAAGGAAATCTGGATATTTTATCACATTAGTCCGGATTTCCAAGATTACAACAGACCAGTGTCCAGATCCAATTAGAAAATAAATAATCTTCTTGAACAAAAATTATCAAGAACAGGTGTGTAAACCAGTTAGTTGATAGACTGAAGTAAAATGTTCCTTTCAACAAGGTTGTAACGATATCAATTTGTATTTCATATGTATTAGACTAGTCTCAAATACTAAGTAGAGCAAGAAAGGTAATACAGAAAGTTAAAAAATATTAAGATGGTACTAGACTAGGCATAACTACTGCATTAGTAGGACCGTGGGATATATTTGTTTGAGTTAAGCATCTGAATTACTGATCAATATGTGTACTGATCAATACGTGTACTGGTGAAATTATCGGTCAAGTTGCGGGCGACACGGAAGAAGAGTCTAGACTGCTCTACTAACTATTACAAAACGGTAATAGGTATTGGAAATTTTTACGTGTTTAGTGTTAAGTGCTTTGTAAAACAGTGACTCAATGTTTTTTTTTTTTTAAATTTAAGTGTTCTCAAGAACTAAAAGATAATGACGACGTCTGCCTGAAGATGATCCCGTGAGGTTCAAAATCGGTCGCCTTTCAAGGTACCGGTACAGCAAGTAATTTCAACAGTACACGGATATATTTAACATTTTGAAAAACTATGACGATGTTTTCGTGACTGTAAGAGACGATGATGTCAAGATGATATTGAGAGAGGTTTTGGATTTTGCCGCAATCACGTAAGTTTTTAAAATTACTTCTGTATGTAATTCGGATGATCAGCAATTCAGATAATTGTAGTTCTACTGTAATTTTATTTCTGACTGAGGCCAGCTGCTTATAAGCCAGGACCATGTATTGAATCACAAAAAGATAAAGAAATTATAATGTACGGTAATTTATACAGGTAAACTTGAATACGACTGTTTAATACAAAGTTACAATGCTTAGTCTACCATATATCTGTGAAGCTAACAAGTTATTTACCTTTCTTGCCATTACATTTAGTAGCAAAGGAGAAATAATATTTTAACCCTTTTTGTATGTTTAGCGCTTTAGAGTTTAGACACCCGTGTGTTCAGCCCCTCATTATTTAGTATGTTAGATCGCTCAAAAGAAATCTGAAATACTTGATTTTACTTGTAGCATACTTGAGACCAAAGACTTTCATTTTTACACTTGTTGTTAACGGACTTGGACTTGTAAACTAGGAAGTAAAAGACTTATATTTTATGTGAAATCAACTGAATTTTTACGTTATTGTAAATTATTTTGTTTCTGGGGGTAAAAATAGAAAATTGACGTAAAGAATATGATATTCTTTCAAAAGCTGTTAAATAGAGATGGAAATATTTGTTACGCTGTGGTTATCAGTAATTGGCTCCTGTTTCAGTCAAAAAATTAAACCAGTTTTCACTGAAACCCCTAAATAAATATCTCTACAGTTATTGAAATAAGCCCTACTCCTTTTTTGTTTCTTCTTTCCGTAATATGACTCTTAATTTTAAGCTGTGATGGATATTCCCTCCCATTGAAAAAAAAACACATTTTAATAAGAGTAATTAAGGTGAAATTTGAAATTAGTTTCCAAGTTTAACTAAGTAGCATAAATGCGATAAGTTTGAATTTAACTCTTCTTATTTATTACCCATGGTCAATGATATGTAATGTATTTTCATACAATTTTGTTTCATTTTACTTTGGGCGTTGTTACTTAACCTCCTTGAATTACTAACTTTTTTATCCAACTAGAAATTTTACACTTACTTTCAGGGGAGATTTTGTTGTAATTTCTTGATTCTTTTAGTATTTAATTTTTGAAAAATGTTTTTCAAGAGAAATTGATAATAATTTGCATAACTACTAGTAATATTTTAAATACTAGTTAGGGTAATATGAGATAAAAATATCTACGACCTCTTTAAACAATGGTTGTATTACTTACCAATGATGCAAAGTATAACATGTTCTTCCAGTGAATAATGTAGTGAATGTCTGCCTAGGCCTAGTCTTATCCATCAATGAGTGTATGGTTACGGTATTTTTAGACATTGATCATGCATTTCTAAACTCTAGTAGGTTTGTTCAGTATACATTTTTTAATCCTCTTGAGTAGGCCAACATACAAAAAGATTAAATATTTCATTTAAATTAGATTTGTAACCACCCAACAGAAAAGAAATACTAAGACTTAAATTTGTTTTTTAAATAATTTATAAGAATTGTCTCCTCTTTTAATAAGTTGTTGGATTATAAACTTAGTTAATTCCATTACGTTGAATAAATAATTTAGTTTTTTTGTTGAAAAAATATTAGATTTTGGTTGTGTCAAGAGCCTGGAACACTAGTTTGATTTTGTTTGTCAATTCAATGTGAACAAGCCAAAGTAAGTGTTTGTATGTGATTGCTGTGTTAGTTAAAATTGATATTTCTATTTGACAGCCAAATTGTTTCATTCCGAGCATATAAACGTAATATTGGATGAATAAAAGAAGTATCAAGGCTCAAGAATGGTTAATTGTATATTTTGTTCATACTTTTGTTTTGTTTGTAATTTAAATTTTATGATAAACTTAGTGTTGGTAATGTATGTTTTACTTATGTATACCTCATTTTTTCTGTTTGTTAAGTTAATTTAATATTAACATGTCTCGTTAGTAAGTCTTACTATTAGGCATACTCTTTTTTACTTTCTTCTCAAATAAAGATTAAAAAAAAAATTAACTGAGAATCTTATTTGTAACTCTCTGAATTCACAAATCAAAACTATTTAACTATCTAAAAATTACTCTTCATCACATCTCATAAATGGACCAATTTACAACAAAATTATTTATGTCATTTAAATAATAATCCATCATTGGTTATTTTTATGTGTCCAATAATCTGGTAAATAACATAAGCACACTATCACCGAAAATGAACTTAAAACAAAGAATAGTAAGCTGCATTATTCTACCAGGCCGGGAAATATGTGTTAGCGGGAGTTTATCTGAGTAGGCTACCGTAATTACTGTTACATGTAGAATTTCACAATATTCTCATCTTAATATCATTTGTATATCATCACAATACTCTACATAAGAGCAGCCATCAATCTAAGTGATTATGTTCTAATCAACAACATTTTTGCATTGGGTGAATTTGTTACGTGTAGGGGATGGAAGAGGTAGGTTCGTGGACAGCCTACCTAATGGCAAGTCTACATATTCTTGTGGAGAAGGTACAGCTTTGTTCAAAGCCTTTTGAAAAAAATACTGTTGAATTAACTCTACTCCAGCTCACTTTACCAGTCCCTTTAAACATACCTAAACTTTCTGGTCTCTTCTGGAAAGAGTTCAGTAATCAACTCCTTAAGCTCCTTTCACACTATACGCTTTCCTTGGGCCGGTTCAAAACATAACGATTATACACCGTTTCTTTGTTTTTTCCGTTCACGGTTTCTGACCACACAGCGAAATGAATGGGACCGCGTCTCGTTGTCCCTCCGTCTCGTTGTCCCTCCGTCTACTTGTACCTCGAGGCCTAGGGACAACTAGTCGTAGGTACAACAGGACGTAGGTACAAGTAGACGGTGGCTCACCCGACTAGTTGTACCTGCAGATTTTTAGGAGGTACAACTAGACGTAGGTACAAGTAGACGTAGGTACAACTAGACGTGTATCCCACCGACAAGTAGTATCACCTAGCTTGTACGGATGCGACCAGTTGTCCCTACGACTAGTAGTCCCTACGACTAGTAGTCTCTACGACTAGTGGTCCCTCCGTCTAGTAGTCCCTACGTCTAGTTGTACCTACGCGTATTTTGCGTCCTTATAGTCTAGTTGTATCTATCCTTCAATTCGTTACCCTGTTTAATTGATTACTGCACGAGTACTTTTTAATAATACCCTTAATTAAATCAGGAACTGCAGTGTTCCGAGTCGATTGAGTATGATTGGCAAATATTTTTCACCGCAATACGATGTTTTAGTAGTTTTACAGACGTTAATTGGAGGCTGAAATCTACGCATTGCTGTCCAGGGTCGAAATGGCAGCTATAGTTGTGATTAAAATTTTCCAGCCCTAGTACCGAAAATCACTTATTTAATTAAAACATTTATATATATCATTAAATATACAAGCAGTATATCCCTAATGAATTGCAATAGACCGCTGCCCAGCAATTATGTATTACTGTACTATTTTTGCTGATTCCTTTAAATATTTTTTCACATAACCTTAAAGTATTTGCATTGATTAGTGTGC